TTCTTACAATTACTTAAAGATAATTTCAAAAAAGTGAATCATCATACTGCTTCTTCTCCCATGCACAAACATATTCAAGATCACTCAACAAATTCATTTTCATTCATGGTACTCATATCAAATAATGAAAAAGATCCTGGAAGCCAAGTACACACCTGTACTCCTGTACTCCTAGCTACTGAAGAGTCTGAGATCTAAGGATTGAGGTTCAAAGCCAGCCCAGGCAGGAAAGTTCATGAGACTCTGATCTCCAATTAACTACCAGAAAACCAGAAGTGGTGCTGTGGCTTAAAGTGGTAGAGTGCTTGCCTTGAGCATCAAAAGAGGTCAGGGACAGCACCCAGGTCCCAAGTTCAAGCCCAATGATCAACAACAACAACAACAAAAACAAAGAAGAAAACAAAAAGATGTTGGAATGCAACCTTCACATATAATAAATGTAGATAAAGCCAATTGAATAAAAGCCCGTAGTTAGCAATTCATTCTTTTCATAAACAGAGACAAATGAAGCTAAACTCATCTCTCCATGAGGAAGGGGCCTCACTTGCTGAGAAATCAAGGTGCCCAAACTCAGGATTTAAATGAACTTGGAAAATGATGGCACACACCTTGCTCTCTCTCTTCGCTTTTCTGTGATTATGGAGGGACAGTAGAAGTACAATGCATACTTAATTGAGGTGGTAAATACTAGGCTGTAGCAGATTGTTTTAGTGTTAAATACAGTAATGGGTTTTTAATGGCTGCTGTCCAAAAGTACATTGGAAAAAGATGGTTTATTAGTAATAATAATCGCTAGCACCTTTATCATCAAAGCCCTTTAAAAATATGAGCTCATTAATCCTCCAACTGTCACTGGTAAGAAGTGGTAAATGTTCCTGTCCTCAGTTTGCAACTGGTAAAGAAGGAAAATAGAAGGTAATTTTCCAAAGAAAGCTTTGTGTGAGGGGGTCAATTTCCAATTTAAACAACTCATATGGAATTTATACATGGATGGGTAGCATTCATTCTCTGATATTGACCACTGTTTGTTTTTGTTTTTGTTTTTGTCTTGGAAGGGGCAGTGGTAAAGGTCAAATTGAATTTATCTGAACTTGACTCACCGTAGCACACATGACTTGCACCTGAATTGCTCAATGCATGTCTCTTAATATTACTTCAAGCAAATCAATTGTGCTCCAAATCTATTCAGCTGAAATCAATTACATACCGAAACGTGTATGCATAGAAAATCTGATTGTAGGGCTGCTTTGAAATCTAACTCCTCTGAGAATTTCCAGAAGCCACAAAGCAAAATGAAATCAAGGTCAAATATTATTTTTATTTGGGCTTTCTAGTTGTATCTATTCACTTTATCTTTACAGGATAATAGTACGTGTGTCACAAATAGTATGAGTCTAACAAATAACCCACAAATAGTCAATTGTTCTTACATGAGTAAGCTAGAAATGTTAAAATTATTTTTGTTTGCTTATTTTTTATGGGCAATGCTTGCAATACCTTGCTATTTTATAATGTTTTCAGGGGTGTGTGTGTGTGTGTGTGTGTGTGTGTGTGTGTGTGTGTGTGTGTGTGTGTGTTCATGTGCCCATCAGTACAGGGGCTTAAACTTAGGGCCTTGCATTCTTGTACATGCTGTCACTCTACCATTTGAGCCACACCTCTACTTCTAGTTTTGCTGGATAATTAGAGAGAAGCATCTATAAGATTTGTCTACCTGGGCTGGCCTCCAACCATGAGGCTTAGATCTCAACCTCTTCAGTAGGTAGGAATACAGACATGAATTATGGACACTCGACTACATTGAGTATTCTTTACAAATTTATAGTTTAATTTAATGAATAAATTCTCCACTGTGTCATCATATGTGTTTCCAAATAACATATTTCGAAAGTCCTTAAATTTGCAAACTAAAGAAGTCAAATACTATATCCTAGAGAAGATGACACAGGCCAAAAAAAGCATTACAGCAAATCAACTCCCTATACAGCACAGGAATTGGAATGTCCTGTCTGGCCAAAGTAGTTACTGGTTACTCACATCAATAATTCTAGCTACCCAGAGAGCTGAGAGCTGAGGACTGTGATTCAAAGCCAACCCAGGCAAGAGAGTCCTTGAGACTCTTATCTCCACAAAGCTGCAAGTGAAGGTGTGGCTCAAGTGGTGGGGGTGATCATCTTGAACACAAATAAATTCTCAGAGACAGCAACCAGGTCCTGAGTTCAGGCCCCAGGGCCGGAAAAAAAAGTAGAAAGCAAAGTTATTCTTGCCATATTCCAAATGAACACTTGTATGCATATACATGCATGCATGCGCACGCACACACACACAGAGTCTTTTGGAATCACTTAACCTTTTAGCATACTATTTAACTTATGCATATGAAAATACATATCTCAACATCTGCTTCTACAAACCCGAACTAAAATTTCATAATCCTCTGAAAACTCCCAAATATGTTAATCATACCTGGGAAAGAGTTGCAATTCCTTCCTCTTAAGCCTCTTAATTGACAGCTGGTAATGAAGATAGTGTCATTGTTATGATTGGTGTCATTTCCCAGACATTTTTAACAACATTAAGGCTGGGATATGACATCTGCCAGCATCAAGTGTGTGTGTGTGTCTTAATCTGGAGAGGCAGATACCCCTGCCTCTGTGCAAATGTCAACCATGTTATGTATAATACCCAGATGTAGGGGAGGTCTATGCATATTGATATTCCAGAACATCAGACACATTTCTACCAAGAAACAAAGAAATGATTATGATGGCAAGCCAAAGCTTCAGGAGGACAAAGGTTGAATTTTACATATACTGGTGCCCAGGATCTAGTAGAGAACCAGCTAGAGCAACAAAGGATTATAAAACATGATTTCAGAGTGAATTCAAGTATTTCTTTCTGACAATTTATCTCTCAGTGGCAGCCCTCGCGTTATTAATCTATTGTATCAATGATTTTAAAGCCTCTTTTTTTCCCCCAAATGACAACCTTCTCATTGGATAATCACTATGTAATGCATTAGGAAGACTTTCTAATCTACATTTTTCATATTTACCTGGGATAAGTAGAAACAGAACAGGGTATGTTTCAATGGTGTTCATCCAGGGTGAAGACCATTGTATGATTTGTTCATAGAAAACCTGACTGATGGATAGTCTACATTTCAGAAATAAAGTCCAAGCGAGGACAAAGAACAATGAAACAGTAAAGTAGGGACAAAGATAGCAGTTAAAGTTTCACTGTGGAGTCTGGCTCCCGCTTATCAGGTGTCTTAATTCAGGAAGATTGTGTTTGGAGACTAGATCATGCAAAAAGTTTATAGAACTTCCATCTCACAAAATAGTTCAGTACAGTGGTGTAGGTCTGTCATCCTAACCACCTGGGAGAAAAGTGGTTCTGTACAAGCCTGGGTAGAAATGGTTGCAAGAACCCATCTCAATTAAAAACAAATAGGGGTGGGGTTATAAACCACCATCCTTTCTATGAAGGGATGTATAAACAGGAGGACCATGGTCTAGGCTTGCTTGGGCAAAAGTGAAACCCTATCTCAAAATAACCAAAGCAAAAATAGCTCAAGTGGAAGGGTGCCTGCCTATCATGTCAAATTCCCTAAGTTGAAACCCCAATAGTGAAAGAAAAAAAACAAGTTTAGGATGCACATAAGATTTTTCTGAGTTTGAGTCCCCCCTTCTACTTAGACATTGCGCGATTTTGGATAATAACTCTTCTACATCCACCATCCTAGCTTAAACTATATGATGCTGATTGTATTTTCCCCAAATCACTGATGTAGAGATTACAAAATACATAGTAAACAATCGGGAAATGATAAATGGTGGCTGGGGCCTAGTCCTATCTATAGCACAAAGATGTTATTCAGTAAACCATTTAAATGTCTGGCCACTTTCAGTGTCTTCTAGGGTTCATTCCCCTCCCATACCACACACACAGCCACACAAAACAACAACAAAAAATCACAGAATTGAGGAAGCTCTAAAAACATCTGCTCTCTCTTGCGCAGATCTTCATTCAATCCCAGAAATGTATCTGGTGACATTTTCAATATTTGCTCTAAATTCAGTACTGCCCTCAATTGACATTATAAGTCTGGGTTTTCATTAAAGAGTAAGAGAAAAACCATTGCCTGCACAACATTTATCTTTCAAATAAAAGAGTCTAAAAGCAATAGAGTAAACTATAAAAATCACTCCCATCAATGTTACACATGAGCTGCTTTATTTCTTTTGAATGTATCAGTATATAAGATATCCCATAATAAGAAGGCATTATGTCACTTTACACTTTTTTTTGTTTGTTTGGTTGGTTGGTTTTTGCCAGTACTGAATTCTGGGTGTCACACCCTCATTTGGCTTTCTTATTCATGAATCAAGGGCTAACAACTTGAGCCATGTCTCCAGGCTGGCATTGTGCTGGTTTTTTGGAGATGGAGTCTAGCAGACTTTTCTGCCTGGGGTAGCTTTGAACTGAGATCCTCCAGGTCTCAGCTTTCTGAGTAGCTAGGATTACAGTCATCACTGACATTCTGCCAGGAAGATCTTTGATAATAAAACTAATAGCAGTTGATCATCAAAAATTGCCACATGTTTCTTACCTGATTATGTTTTGTTATAGTGGGACAGATTTCCTGAGGCCTGGGAAACACAAATGCCCACAATATTGTGTTACCAGAGCACCCTGGCCTATTTCCTCATCCTTTCTATGTGCATGACAAGAGAGGGGTACCCTGCTCTGCCCCAAGGACCCAGGTTTTAGTGCTGTTCAACTCCCAGAGTTATGAAGTCTCCATTTTCCAGGGATGGCACCTATAATCCTTCCTATTGGAATAACCACTTGAAACAAATTTTAAAAAATCTACTACAATTGAAAATCTCTTCCCATACTTTTTCTTTCTGTTTTGTTTTTTTCTTTTTGGTAGTGGGGCTTGAACTCTGGGCCTAAGCTCTGTCCCTCAGCTCTTCATCTCAAGGCTAGTGCTTGAGCCACAGCACCACTTCCAGCTTTTTCTGCTTATGTGGTGCTGAGGAATAGAACTCAGGATCTCATCCATGCAAGGCAAGCACTCTACTACTGAGCCACCTTCCCAGCCCCACTTGCTATACTTTTGATCTTGGAAGCAGACACCACATACATGAATGAACAGCTTGTTTTAACGTTTGGGGGCCTATCGCTGAAGCCCACCTCTGGACCTGGCCATATCCACTTTAGTTAGTGTAAAAATAGCGGAGGAAGAAATGACAAAGGAAAAGGACTAAAGGTAGACCACAATAGAGATGCAATGGTTGTGTCTTTTGCACTGACTTGGGCAATGCATGCTTTCTCCTTCATTGTTCTTGTACTGCAGATCTGAAGCCTTCAAGGTGTGCTATGCATTCTTCTGATTCAGACCCATCCTCTCTACCTTCTAACATCCTGCTCCTCTGTGAGAGAACTGGCCTGTACACATCACTCCTGCCCAGCTCCCTCCCGCTCTGTCTGCTGGTGCTTTGAGCCACAGAGGAAAAGGAACAGCAGTCAGTGGGGGGGGGGGGGGGGGGGGGGAGGGAGGTAGGCAGCATTGCCTTGTGATTTCGCAGCAGCTACGCCCAGGATCCTCTTCCAAAAGTCACAGGTTCTACCTGTCAATCTTCTCTGAGCTACTATGCTCACCAACTCCCAGTCACTTCTACCCCCATGGCCTCTTTAGGATGAAAGGCAGGAACAGCCCCACACATGCTTCAGCAACCCCTAGTTTTCCAAAAACAAGGAGCCATTCCTTCTTTAAATCCCTTCCAATTATTCCTTTGTAGTATGTCCTATATATAAGGAAAGGCCAGAGTTTAGGCAAGAGGAAGCTAGATTTTACTTAAGGAAGACGCCAAACTGTGAACCTTTCAGGCCATCCCAGGGGACAAGCCATTCCTGTCTGAGAAAACAGTGTCACTCTATCACCTGCGTATTCAGGTCCAAGACAGGAGAACATTGGAGGTTTCAGAATAAGAAGTATGAACTTTTAGGATTTTTGATTTTTACATGTTGGCTGAATTGTGTCTTAAACATTCTTTTGGCCAAACAAAAATAGATGTTCATATTATTGTCCCAGAAACCTTGATTTGGATCCTAACTAGGCCATGTTGCTTCTTTGTTTGGGAAGCACTGGGGTTTGAACTCAGGCTTTGTACTTAATTAGCATGCACTCAATAAATTGAGCCATACCACCAGTCCACACTTCTTCTTTAGGAAAAATAAGTCTGGTTTTATCTTTACCCTCTATAAGTATTTTAAAAGGCTGGAATTCTCACCTATACAGCTTTTTTTACTCACTCTTTCTCCCACAATTGAAATATTAATGTCAAACATGAAAAATATTTGGGGCCCAAAGTTATAGAAATCGTCCTATGTGCCCCTGTGCTAGATGTGCAAAGGGGGTGAGATCATTGACTTTCCACGTGGTTCATTCCACTCATCTTTACAATCAGGATAATGGCTTCTTACCTACCATCTTCAGAGAAGGCTAGAAAATGAGATTACACACAGTAAATGAAAAATGCATTTGAGATCTTCAAAGAATAAAGTGCTATTTAAGCCAAAGGGATTATGAAGGAAAAACTCAGAGGTGTGCCAAAGCATTTTCTTTCTTTCATGACACCAAGGTAACTGTGAGTCAATGTCTCAGGACAATAGGATCTTACAGAAAAACAACCAGAGTCAAAGGAAATCCTAGTGATAGCCTGGAACCTTAGTGGAAGCTTTCAGAAAAATCCAAATGTCTGGTCACCACACCCAGACATTCTGACTCAATTAATCTCTGATGGTTATTTGGAAAAGTTTCCCAAGTGATTTTAACATGAGCCAAACCTCAGATACTACTCATAAAATATTTCAAACAAATGAAATAATTTGTGTATGAGCATATGATTAATGTGAATATCAGTAGTTATCTTTTGCATGGCACCTGATCACACTTATTTATAATCACATACCTCTATCTATCTTTGCCCTTTTCAAATATTAAACGTGCTATAGAAGGGTAACAATTACTATAATACAAAACTATAATTTATTGAGCACTTCAGTGCTATTAAGCTGTCTGCAGAGATAATTCCATATAATGTTCAAACTGCACACATAATCTAGGTGCAGACATAATCCTCATTTTCATAGAACCAATCAGTCTTAGATCAAAATGACTTAGCTACAGCCACACATCTACAAGAGGGAAGACTGATTTTGAACCCTGGCAGCCTAGCCACATAGCCAATGCATCCAGCTGCCACATCACTTTGCTTTCCTCCATGCCAAATATTGTATGGGTCTATTAGTGCCCTTAGAGTTTACAACCAGGGGAAAGAATTATACTTCTAAATTTTGCAGGCTATGTGTGAAAATGGTCTGACAATAGTTTTTGGAGTTCACCAAATGTGGTTCAGGAGATGGGTGCTTTGCTCAGCTCCTGCTTCAGCAACTAGAGGAAATCAGATGTGCACAAACTCCAGAAGGGATGATATGGTTAGAACACCAGAAGAAGCCCTAGCCAAAGCATCAACTATACTTATCTATTTACCAGTTTCAATCCATGTATTATTGTTACCATTATCTGCTAGCATCTTTTGAGTTGGATATTTATAGCTATCACAAATTTGCTAAGTTGTGACTACAACTAGAAAGTTGTGAGTTCTGAATAATTCATCTCACTTCAAATGCTACATTTGATTTTCATTGAAATTATTTTTATAAATACCTACTAGACACACTACTAAAAAAATTGACTGTTAAAGGAGATACTGTGGGCTTGCACCTGTAATTCTTCTTAGGAGGCTAAGATCTGAGGATTACCATTCAAAGCCAGCCCAGGGCAGAGGGAAGTATGTGAGACTTAGCTCCAATTAACCACTAGAAAGCCGGAAATGGAGGTATAACTCAAGTGGTAAAAAGCCAGTCTTGAGTAAAAAAAGCTAAGGAACAGTACCCAGGCTGAATTGCCCCAATCCCCTGCCCCCACCCCGTGTCCGTCTGTCTGTCTGTCTCTGTCTGTTTCTGTCTCTCTCTGTCTCATTCTCTCTGCCTCTGCCTCTTTCTCTCTCTCTCTCTCTTTCTCACACACACACACACACACACACACACACACACACACACAGATAAGCCAGTTGGATTCATTTTTTTTGTAGGAACAAATTATGTTACAATGAGACAGAAATTGTTTGGATAATATTCTAGAAATGAAAACAGAGCATGCCTCTTCGTATATGTGTTATCTAATAACACAATGGAAAGGTAGGCAGCATCATTTTTTGTAATCTACAATACATAAAAATCTCAATTAGTTACGGCCTATTTATGCACTGGCTAAAATCATTCGTTAACAAAACAGAATTTTCTAGTTTAGTGGATAAATATACCAGAAGAAATTGCAGAATAATGTTGGGTTGCCAAGCAACCACAGCTCTACTCTCTCTTGTTTGTGATCAATCTAATTCATTCATCGAGCTTCCTAACCCAGTGTTGCAAATTCCAACCAATTTGGTTCTTGGGAAAACCAGAGTGACTTTCAATAACACAATAACTCTTTTATTCGCAGAAGATAAACTTAGATGTTCTTTTGATCAAAGGGAGGTGTTTAATTCATTATTCTCCACATGGTGTTAATGCGAAAGCTATAATTAACTAACTACACTATTGCAATAGACATAAAATAAACTGCTGCAATTAGTAATGTTTAACGTGTTAACCAGCCCCCACCCCAAATTTTAATGGAGTCTTCCCTTCAATGAAGATGTACAGAAAGGAGAAAGCACCATATCTAATTAAATTGAGAATTGTTTCCAGTCTCTCCCAAGGGGAATAGAGAGGCAGGTGATCACCAAAATGTGGGAGACTTCACTTTAAAAGCAGAGAAAATGGCCCAATGCCAACTCCACGTGTAGGTAGACATAAAGTGCTGGCAAACAACGTAATCTGTTCTTTCGAAGACTGCTTAGCACAATATTTTTCCAGGAATGAACAGAAAGACTATTCTGCTCTTTCATTCATTAGCTGTGTTAACTTAGCATATTGTATGTAAATCACCATAATAATTGCATTCTCTTCAGACCGAATTAGTGAGAATGAAGCTGTAATTAAAATGTTCATAACTGAAAATATAAGCATTCTCAGACTTGGTTAGAAAAAAATAATAATAAAAGCAAGTGCCAATTGAATCAGATAATACAATTCATCACTGAGGAGAACCTGACTACAGACCCAAGTCTATCTTTTTAAGATACTTTTTATGCTAATCAGACCCCTCGAAGTTAGGACTCAACACTCTCCAATGTCATGTGTTTGTAATGTGTTTTGTTTTTCTTTGTTAACTGTTGCCATTTGTCTTTTATCTAACTTACACTTTCCAAGTTCATTCCTGCTGAGATTTCCAAGGAAAATACAAAATGGTGAAAACTAAGTTTTTTGGTTTCTAAAATAGATTACTCTATTGTACTGTTGGCTGTCATAAATCAAAGGGCAAAATAATTTCCAATAAATGGAACACTTAATGTCAAAGCTCCTGGGAAACAATATGTAAATGATCATATGAATTTCAGACAAGCTGTCACACTAATTCCTCAAGGTACCTTTTAAAGATGACATATTCACTATGCAGATGTGTGTTACAAAAGCCAAACTTGAAGTGAAATCGACTACCTGGATTGATACTGTGCAATCCTTTTTCCCCTCAAACTGGATACCATGTGACAATCATTTTCCCCCTCAAACTGGATACCATTAGTTCCCCTCCATTACTTAATTTTCCTTTATCAGTTAAAAACTACTAGGATCATCATCAGTCTTGATCATCTTCCTTATTTAATTCTCCATAAAAGCAAATCAGGCTAAATGATTTTGACAATGCAATTCTAGGTCAAATAATCTCCTACCTTCAAAGACTTCAGAAGAAACTATAAAACAGAGCTTCTATCCAGTAAATATTTTCTTTTAAGTGAGACCTGTTTCATTAAAATCACTAGGGATCTTTGAGATGGATAGT